ACCAACAACCATGCCACGCTCAAAATTGCTTAAATCACCTTTCTTTCCCATTCTGACATTCAGTTTGGAGTTGACCAGGACTACATCCCTAAATGCATTGAAGCAACTGCCATGTGATTGGTTGATTAGATAATTGCATTAATGAGAAATTGAACAGGTGTTCCTAATAATCCTTTAGGTGAGTGTATGTATATATATATATCCAAGATACATCGGAAAAAACCTTTACATGAAACATTGATCAGGTGGTCAAGATATGTAAAGGGTTATATATATATATATATATCCAAGATACATCGGAAAAAACCTTTACATGAAACATTGATCAGGTGGTCAAGATATGTAAAGGGTTTCATTTGAGTATATTATGAGTCCAAGTCATCAACTTCTTTAAAGTTAGTATTTTTTTCTTTTCATGTGTTTCAAGATTGTAGAAAATGAGAGTTCACTACAACTTCATGCGAGATGTCAAGTCCAAGTTTTCACTCAAGTTTAAATCCACATTTTTATTGTCCTTGGGGTGAAAGGAGAAACAAAAGTATCATGAAGTAAAATGTAAAATCAGGGGGTCCCAGCACTTAATCATGTAGCACTCCCATCAACAGACATAATTCTGAAACCAAACATTCCGAGGTAATCTATTAGGTGCAGGAATAGAAACGATACCTAGTCCTTCTGAAATATTTTAAGTTGGGCCCAGTCTGAAGAAAGCCAAGTAGCTCTATGTATAAGCCCTGCCTAAAGAACCAGTGAGACTGAACCACAAAATGGGAGGCTATCCACATATTAACAAACCATGCAAATTTTCTCAAGTTATCAATTTCAAAACAAATAGTCGTCGATAAGTCATTGTATTGTTGGATATTTAATGCCATTGAGTAATTATTTGCCTATTGTGATAAAAAAAATGTTGGTTATAAAATCAAGGACACAAAGGAAACTGATCTAGGTTTTATCAGAATTATCTGAGCGAGTGAAAACATGGGAACATTGGATCACTGCCCTAGCAGGGAAGTCAATTGGGATTTTTTGTTTGTGTTATTCAAGAAAAGTCCCTATACACTTTATTAAATTTTGAATCTTCCAAATCTCTCTGGCCTTAAAGCATTGATCTGAGAAAGGTATTGACATTTCTTCTTCATCATCTGACCACATAATGAGCCATAATATTGATGAGATTGTGTTATCCTCACCTTCTTGGTGTCTGCTGTAGTCTATGTTGATGTCACTTGGTCCTGGAGGACTGATGCATGTTTTTGATTACCTATATCAGCAGCAGTCTCTGTTTCAGATTTATAACCCTTTTCCATCTTTACCTCATTATACACTGTATACTCAGCTGCAAAGAATCATGTAATATGCAAAGTTTATCCTCATTCTTCTTCCTATAATGAAAAAATAGTTACTCTCAATGGCTTTAGGGGGTTATAACCTAAAATTCATCCTTTCCAAAAGATGATATTATTGGAGATTACATTATGATGATAAGAGAACTTTTAAAATTACACATGGGAAAACTACAAAGAAAATATAAACAATTAATGAGATAGTTGCAAGCTGGCTTAACCCGATACAGGGTTGCCAGCTCTCACGCATCTGGCGCGACACTGACGCTTTCTGACTCTGAAGCAAGAAATTTTACTGCAAATCTACGTTATTCCATTATAAACCTGAAATTAGCTATATCAAGAGCGTTATGGTAGTCTGCTAACCCCACAGACTATTTATAAGGTAATACAACGGTTACATGCATGTAAATGCGTGTGCAGACTTGTCTCTAATTGAAAATCTCACGCCAATAATCTGACCAAAGTTGGCGACTCTTCGGATAACTACTGTCAAGGCACCTGTGAACCATTAACCTCTCAGTCTCCAGTGTGATTTTTTTAGGGCGAAGCAGTTCGCTCACTAGGGAACGTCTATAAAGCAGTCATTGAGACCCTGTACTTTCTATAATTGCTTTTACATAAAACTGATGGATTGGTTGATGGATGAATGGGTGGACTCATATTTATACAGTCAGGTTTAAAACCTTGGTTTATGTAACGAGCGACGCATGCCGCGCCTTCTGAGGGATTTACTGCGCATGCTCAGAACTCTCTGGCCCGGGTTTAAATCTCCTACTTGGCCGTTTTTATCAAGCGGTGCAACGTCAGTGGGGCCCAGTTAGCTAGCTGGTTTAAATTTACTATTGTGAAATATTGTATAAAAGTTTAGTTAAATTCTATAGTTTATGACCACAAGTTATGGCCGGCAGCGCCCGAGGTATGATATCTAAGTTCGTACTCATAAATGATAAGTTATAGTCCCTCTTTTTCCAGCTCTCGTGGCGGCCACGTTTCCCGCCCGTGAAAGCATTTCGGTATCTGATTCCACTGAATATAAACTATGAAATTATAAGACAACGCTATTGTTTAACACAGTATTTGCATAATTAAAGAGACGTTATTAAAGTTTTTCCCGGTGCCGAAGGGGACTTGAAATGTTTTTATTTCTAAAGACCAGTAATGGGTTTAAATAGTGCATTCATAACTGAGTCACGCCATTTTTTTTTTGTCTCTGGTGATTATTTGGTGACTAGCGATAGGCGAGATTTGTCAGGAAGACTGAATTTACTTTTTTTTAAGTGTCTCCAGGTGAACCCGAGTTCTGTCTAAATCGGGGTCTTTTATATCGCCCTTAATTAACATGGCGCTGCAAAGCTAACAAGCTAAGGGGATATTTAGCAAAACCAGGCGTTATTATCCAGTCACGGCGTGAATACCCTTTGTAAGTAAAAGTTGCTTGTTAACAGCAGCTGCAGTTTACAGACATGACATAAGGCGACAAAAGGACAGCAGGGGGCGTAGTGGTTATAAAAACTTGATGTGCAACTTAGAAATCTAGCGATCAGCGAGGAAGGGAAATTGGAAATCAATTAAAATACAATAAAATGAACCGGAACAGTACAATAAATATGTATTCGAAGAGTGCTTTCTATCTTATGTGAGTAAGCATTTGGTGTGTAAGCACTAGAAAATCATCCCATTGTACAAAAATGTTGCATATATTCCTTTGAAATCACGACATTCTGTCCGTGTAATTTATTTGTATATTTGTTACATGTGGCCCTTTTCTTGCCGTTTCACAGAGGCATTATTCTCATGATAATGCTGTATCTCATCAGATATTTGACATATAACTGGGAGCTGTGACACCTACAGGAAATCAGCCCTGGGTGGCTTCTGTCCTCTTTCCGTAAAGCTTAATTCCTGGAGGACCACAGCCTAATGAATTTGTGAATAGCAAATAACAGTATTAGCATGTTTTTATCAGAAGATGTGCAGCAGCTGTACTGCTGTATATTGAAGACTTACTGTATTTTATAACACAGGGATAAATAGGATAGACAATTAGTAACTATATGATGATGAAGAGAAATGAATGGCCGGGAACACTTCAGGTACCTGGAAATGGAAGCTTCAGTGTGAGCCCAGCCATTGAAAATGTTTTGAGGTTTTTTTTTTGGCCTCGTTTTTGGATTGATATAGAGCTTTCTGCAGACCCTATGGGACTAAGGGCGTGAGTTCAGAGGCCAATGTCGCCCCTCATCCGTCTGTGGATCATGGACATTCCTACAACCATATCGACCACTGCATTCCATCACCTTCTTTGTGTGACATCACAATTTACCGAACAGATGACTGACATGGCCGCCGCCCCCACCCCCCTTGTCTCCCAGGCGATGACTTTGACGAGTGTGAAGAGCCAGGGGGCACGAGGTGGTGCGAATGGATGAGGGACGATGACAATTCGGGCAGGTATGGCTTGCAGCTCTGTGCCAGGGAGAGGCGTGACGGAGACCTTAATCTCCTTCGCTGGCGTGTTAAATTTTCCCGCTGGCTGCGTGGATTAACCTCTGACACTTGTCCATTCTGTTTAAGAGCGTCAATTAGCAGTGTTAGCTTAGCTTAATTGCCAGTCTCCATTAAGTGAGGGTTCTTGGCGCAAGTTTGATTGAGAAATAATTATTTTTGGTTGATTTGCATCCCGAAGCAAGTAGTAAAACTTGCTTCAGGCATGTGTTGGGGTGTAATTTGCTCAATTTTGTTGCTGCTGGCTTAGAGGTATATCATTTTAGGAGACAAAAAAAGTATAAAATTATTTATTTACATTGATTCACTTGAACAGACGTCTTATCTGTGAATAAAAACGCATAATCTGTAGCATGTGTATTGCATCTATTTGTAAATATAAATATTTATACTTACATTATTCAATATTTATTAATTTCATTGGTGACCTCTGTTTATGTTAATTCTTTTTTTATTCATGCCTTTTAAAATAGGACCTAAAGTATTGTGACACTCCCTTTGCAATAGCAGACTGTCCTAACATGTATATAAATACTTCCCTAGTTTAATTGTCCCTCAGAGTGAGCTGGAGGGTGACGACTTTGAAGATGAATGGCTTGCACCCAAACAGGTGAGGTAGCCGTTTACCTGCCTGCGGGAGTGTGTGAGCCGAAACGGGGTCTGCAGGTCTTCCATCCTGGTCCCGGAAAGCCCACGTGCCAGCCGGTTCTCGTCTTACGAAACCGTCGGGTCGCTGGGATCCGAAATGTCAGACGAGGGTGACAACGGAGGGTGTCGGGTCCAGTGCAGGTCACCGGGGCCGCAGCGATGCCGTTGCGTGCCTGCCGCACCGTGGCTCCTGCCTATTTTTGGCCGGCCGGGCGTCTCGGCCTAATTAAACAGCCAGGTGGGCGGACAGAAAGACCGCTGGTCATGCCGATTCCAGCAGAGAGGCGTGCAGGTCAGTTGACGGTCCATTGGCGTCCCGCGGCTCGGCGACAGCTCAGCATTACTGCCGTGTCGTTTCCGTTTGCTGCTGCCGTTTGCGTATTTTTTATTTTTTTTTCCCTTTCTCTTGTATGGGGCCGCCCAGGGCATCTGTGGTAGACGCGAGACACGTAGGGGTGGGGGCCCCCTACATACAGGCTCCCGTCTGCAAACCCGTGACAGGTTGTTCCTCCACGGGGGAATCGGCCCCGATTCAGATGCCAGAAGAATCTCGGCGCTTCCCCCTCGGCCAATGACGAGCCGTGTAGACAGAGCCCGCCAGGTTCTGCGTGACAAATGCGGTGTTAACCTCTTCGTTGCCGCATGGACACTGGCGTGTAATCAACACAGTACATGTGGCAAGCTACACTTAACACGAGGAGTGTTGTATATATCTTGTTCCATACTCCCTTCCTGTAGGAAGGAATCCTGTGGTAGGAATTGCTTAGGCCTTCAGACTCCAGACATGGATCTTCTCCTCTAATAAATGATTGCTTTACTTACCCAAGCCTACCCTCTCACAACATTACGGAAATTAAGGAAATCACAGTTATATTCATATTGTTTTCAATCTACTGAAAAAAATTTCAATTACATATATGCAGTTCTGGTAATTAATGCTTAATGAATTGAACCATACATCAGTCATCTCAACAATGTACCTGCTATCGGGAAGCCTTAAGAAACACAGAAGACAGGGCATTATGGGATGCCATGTCTGTGGTTGCCTGGAGACCGTGTTGTCATGGCGGTACATAAACCTCATTTGAATGTATGCAGGTGTGTTGACTTTGGCGTACTGAGTGTGTAATTTATATAGGGTTCAGATGGGAAACTGTCATTTTGCAGCGATTTTGTGGCTGGTCTGGCATGCGACTTTTCCTACAGGGTGTGCTCTTCCCATAGACCCTCTCCGACATGCAGGATGAAGAGCTGGACGATGACCTTCTGCACAGTGACGACGACGGCCCCAGGTGAGGGGTTTGGCTCCGAAAGCCAGGCCTGTCACCCATAAATGGCTGTTGGATTTCCCCCACTGCCATCCATAACAAGGTGGCTGATAATCATCTCACCCTGATCCCCGTGATGGCAACTTACAATCCGGTAACCTTAGGTTTCGGATGAATTGCCACTATTAAGCTGGAAAAGGGTGGATTTGTCCTGATTTTGGCTTATCTGACAGATAAAAGGTGCAGTAACCAGTTGTCAGTAGTCAGGGATCTCCAGGGCTTTAACTGCATAACCATTATGGATAGAAAGCTAGGTTTTTACCTACCGGCTCCGCTTCCTCGCGATATTTCAGTGCTTGTGTATGAGAGTGTCGCGTGTATCTGCTTGCGGTTTGTGTCGTCCCGTAGTCCTGGTGTCACTGCCGGCCAGGACTCGACATTTGACCCCACCTCGCAGACCTCGACCAAAGCAGGACGACCCGGGGGTGATGAGGGCCCGGGTGTCGTCAGGGTGGACGACCGGGCCGGCACCCCTGCTGATGGGGGGGTCAGCGCTGAGGATGTGGTGGACATCGGAATTGGTGGCTCGTTGGACAATGAATTTCAAGTACGTCCTCTCCATTGTATAGCCAGAGATAATGCGTGCCCCCCCCACCACCCCCTGCTTTGGTTTGGGACGGATTTCAAATCTATTTCTGTCCCCGGGGAGCTGGGGGAGGGGCAGGGGAATTAGATCCATTATCTCTGTCTGCCAGCATGTTTATCTGTTTCCTGACAAAGTTCGTGTTGACAGCTTGTTTGGCGGTAGGTAATTCTCTGTCCGTGCAGTGCTGTGACCTTGTGGGGGTGCTTTGTGTCGTGGTGATGCGCTGCCAGTTGGCAGAGGTGGCTGATGGGATGCTCTTTCTGAGGGTTTCAGAGAGGGATCTGATAATCTGCCGCTTAGAGAACATTATTGACCTTTTAAAACATACCTGTAGGGTTTGAATGCTGTGGAAGGGATTGATCCTTCTTGTCTGTTTATTCCTTTATTTTTTCTTTTGTGTTATTGACCTTGTAGGAAACTGAAGAAAGGGATTGACCTATAGGTGTAAGAAGGGTGACTGCTGTGCTCTCTGTGACCTTATTATTTGGCCAAATTGTGGTTTTCCTTCTTGTTTTTTGGCCTTACTGTCATTGCCGTGCTATGGCACATAAACGTAATTCCTAGAACTGCATTCCTGTTTGCGTCTCCAGTTACAGGGCGAGGCGGGATGCTACTGCCAGATTCCAGGGCTTTCCCACTCTCGTTTGCTGATGGTTAGGTCTGCCGAATGGAACCTTTTAGGGGGATTTAGCCCTGTTTTCCCACGGGATCGATGTGCCGTGTCATGTCTTTGTCTTTAAGTTGATACTGATTAAATGGGTGTATTATCTCACTGTCATGTGGGTGACCGGATTGCTCTTCGTAATGTGAAATCTTTATTCTTCACTCGGTGTTGAAGCTTTTCCAAATGTTTTTGCAATACGTCTTGATGGCTTTAGAGAAAGTGAAAGTTCTTATGCCCTCTGATACAGCTGGATGTTCTTAAGGTGGTTTTATGAATGGGCAGAACATCAGGGTTTGAACCTATAAACTTTGACTTAAAGTAAATACTGGTGTTGTTCTTTTAGAAGCTCTTTTGCCAGTTACTCTGTTCTGTTCTGTTAGTTGTTCTGGAGAGTTGTGCCCTTTGTCTTAAATCATTTTCTGAATGTAAATAGTTTGAAAGTCTTAATTGCCCTTTAATTACATTTGCTTTTTGAAATGCTGTTCAGAACATTGTCACTGTTTAACTTGAAAGCCTTTTGGCAACCCTTGTTTATTTTTGGGTTTCCAGGTGGATGATGGTTTTTCTGGAGTTATCAGGAGTCCGCCAGTAGCCGTCGAGGTCCAGGAGACTGTCGAGGATGAGGCTGACAGAGGGGAGACTTCAGAAGCGGTTAGCGAGGAGGAAGAGGTGTGTCTAGAGAAGTGAACTATGCCTTCCTGAACTGGCTTCTCATTAGGGTCTGACAGTAGCGTTCTTGCAGACGGAAACCGCTGCTGTGTCCTTGAGCGAGGCACTTAACCAGCTTAAAAGGTGCTTTAATCGCCACAGAAAGAATGCCATTCAGTCCCATTAAATTCGAGAGAAGACTGACATTTCTGCGACCAAATATCTGTAAAACTCTCCTAAATATCTAGGCAACTCTCCTAATGATCTAGATGAATAAAAAGCACTGCAGCCTACCTGGGAATTTATTTAATTTTTTTGATTTTGATTTTGGGATGAACTAAGTAAATAGCTTGGATATCTCCTTTAAGTAAATAATCCATCCATCCACTTACCAACCACCTGAGCAGAGTCATGGGGTTAGTGAATAATGGATAGCAGAAATAAGTAAATGTCTCTAGTCTGTAAAGCCCAATAAATAGTGGACAATCTGAGTGTTTCTCGCACTGGTTTCAAACTGCATTTTTCTGCGGCAGAATGAAACGTGGATAGAGGAGCTCAAGAGGGAGTCGGAGCTGTCAGAGGAGGAGGATGAAGAGGAAGACCAGGAATCCCATCGGCTCCGCTTCAAGACAGAACGAAAAGACGCTTCCGCAGTTCCTCTCTCATCCGTGGCAGACAAACGGAGGAACATTCCGGAAACCTTAGGTACACCAACTCTCCTTAAGAAATAACATGTTCTTTGTGCTACAATTTGCTATATGTGAGAATTCGTGTTCCGCTATGTTAAGAAAAAACAACAAGGCAAACTGGAAACCAGACAGAAATTAGAAATGAATAATGAGTAATGCTGTCTGGGTAAAGGTAACAGTTTTGGTTACGCGTTATGTGTAATAAAAGTGCAAAATAATATCGAATGCAAGTGTATAAAGTACTCTTTTGATGTACTGACTGACTCATGATCTGTGGAGACACTAGTTCTGATTTGTGTAATACCAGAGCCGTTTTAAAGTATTGCTTTTCTGTCTTTAATCATCAGTTGAGAGAGCAAAGTGTTAATGTTAGTTTGTTTCAAAACAGAAGGAACTGTCTGGACACTTGCGAAAGAAAACTCCAGAACATCTCCTGCATCTCAAATCGTATAAGGGCTAACGGGGGGGAAAAAAACATTTAACAAGCCAATTGACATTTCAGCTAAAGTTACAAATGCAATTTCCATTGTGTCGACATTTGGTGACCTTATGTGACAGCTTATTTCCAGTGGAGGAGAGCTCCCTTTCTCACTGATTGAAGATGTCGTCCGAAACCATGCTGTTATGGAGCGCGGTGAAATTAATCTTGACACTCAGCGCGGAGGGAGTAATTGGTGGTTCGGGGGTACCACGGTGTGCAGAAAGGATTTGTTTATGTTTGGAGCAAAAAAATGGAAAAAGACTTTTTTATGATATAGACCCACCCCCCACCCCCCTTACTCCACCTAAGATTTTTGGAGGTGGGGAGGGGTGTTAAAGTTTCAGTTAAAATATTTTTATTCTGTATTTTCCCAGCTCAGGCTGTCTTGTTAAATGGTCTTCACTGCCCTCTGTAGCATGCCGTGCCCCCCTTACGCCTTCACTTGACCCGCCCCTCCCCCCCACAGAGCTTTCGGAGGAGGCCGCAGCCACCCTGTTTCTCCAGGCGACGACGCGGACACGCGGCTGGCTCGGCAGGAGGGGGAGAGGAGGCAGGGCTGGCTGCTCTACGCCCAGGCTGCAGGACGTCGGTCACAGAGGACAGGTGGCGGTCTTCTTGGACGTCCAGTGTCTGCTCCTCTTTTACTGTTACAGTCCGGGCAGGTTAACAGAGGCAGTCTGCGCTTGCAAGCGTGTTAGCGTTAGCGATGGTGGGCCACTGGTATTAGCGTTCGTAAGTTCACCCAGTGATAGTGTTAGCCGGGTCATCCAGAGTTGCTGTTAGCATTAGTGAGGTCGTCTGCCGTCAGTTTTAGCGAGGTCATGCAGAGTTACTGTTAGTGAGGTCATGCAGAGTTACTGTTAGTGAGGTCATGCAGAGTTACTGTT